CCTGCTAATGTTTTCCCAGATGTCAGTTAAAAATTGTCATTATAACCAGGTGTCAGTTTATACAAATGTCATTATAACAGGATCATGTATAGAATCTGAAGCATTGATGTCGAAGCAAATATTAAGAAAACTCAGGATGTCCAAATTTTATTCCGTGCATGACATCAAAATTTTGCTCTGCATTACGACAATAAACCGATTAAAATTTTATGCTTTTATCATATATGTAATACGAATTTATATATCTATATTACCAAAAATAAGCATTGGGTTATGTCATTTTATTAATCGTCTTTGCATGTTTCATTATAAATAATTATATACTTATGTGTAATCGTTGAATTAAAAGTTTTTATGGAATATAAAAAAGTTTATTTGAATCATAAAGTTATAAAAAATTTACATCCATGAAAATAACTTATATTTTCGCTTTGCTGTTAAACATTGATATTTTATTCCTTATGAAATCAAAGAAACAAAAAAAAGCAACGAGGAGAGAAAGAAAAGAATTGTAAATTCTTGATTATTGTTCGTTTGCAACCCATATTGAATGAATTCTTCATTGATCATCTTGATATGTAGTCTAAATCCTTTATATATTCCACCGGCCGAAAACAAAGATTTGGAAGGACCAGTTTCGAGAATAATTCAGTATAAATACGAATTTAATCTTGATTGGTACCTTTTAACCTTTAAAGGTATGATTAATAAAGGGAAAATACACAATTGAATATTGCCCGATATTTTTAACATGTTTTTTATGCAGATGAAAGAAGACAGCCAGAGTGGCAGCAGTACAGAAACTTAGCAGGATGCAATGAGATAATTAAAGAGTTTTGGATGCGTGAGGATGCTGGGACGACTCCAATGGTTGGCCCTTTTGGATCGTCAAAGTTTTTGCGTTTCACAAATAATAAAAACGAAAACGAGAGTGATAATGTAATTATTCATGTCGTCTTAAAATTTCTCTAATGTATAATAGAGAAAGATATGTGGTCATAATCCAATTCATAACTATGAGCATCAGCTTCAAATGACTCATTTAAATGTTTATTGTCAGGTCTATTTGAAAGATCCCAGTAAGCCATTGGTCAATGATATTCCAAACATTCAAGAGTATGTTTTTGATATGAATATTTAGTATCTTTGTAATTTCATTGGTTACTTACATACTTTTATATAGGAGGAACACTGAACAAACAGAACAGATGTTCTGTAAATCAAGGGCTACAGGCATCCTTAATATGAACAAGTAATTAACATAATTAATATGCTTATTGTTGATTTTATATCTAAATATTTCCGTTTTTTTTATTTAGTGAGTGGATAGGATGTTTGGAAAAAGGCCAAAATAAAATTTTTCTTGCAACCGTCCTCTTGAAACCATATCCTGGACATTGCCATGACGCATCGTCCCTGTAAATACATCACATTAAAAAGTGTCAATGTATTTATGCATTGGTGATATCAAACTCTAACTGTTTTTCTAAGATTTAAAAATATCGGAAAAACTCTTTGGATGCGCCATTTTATACCATTAACATATGCCAAAGAATTTATTCGAAATATAGCCAATAATGTGTCTCTATTTACAATCGAGGCTATTTACGACCGGGACATGCCTAGTCTTTATATTGAATGCGCTTTGATGGAATGGAGTGAAAAGGTATCCTTTTTAACAAATTTATCACTGTTTATTTAGCGTTTAACAATTAAATTTTCTTTAATAAATAGGTCGGAATAATTTGGATCGATGAAACCATGACTTCCTTTTATAATGACATTTGTATAAACTGACACCTGGTTATAATGACAATTTTTAACTGACATCTGGGAAAACATTAGCAGG